TCTTAAAGTCCACAGCCGGAGCGGCCCTGGAGACAAACTTTCTCACGGGTTTCGCTGGTTCTCCCTCATCGTTCGCCTGGCCCGGGAGACCCGGCTGGTATAGAGCCCCAACCTCCGCGTACTTGCTCACGCGGTATTCATTCTCGGAGATCAAGCCGTCAACCAAACGCAGCAGTCGCTTCTGAGGTATAGTATCAAAACAAGCCTGCACGTCAAGTTTAACAAAATACAGCCGATCCTTCCTGCTGATTCCCCCCTGATCAAGTCTTTCCCGGAACCTCTTCAGTCGAACGTACATGTCCCCCACGGAATCCATCGACGCACCGAGAGACCCCGACTTCGAAGCCTTTTCACAATTAAGCACCTGGAAAACGGGTGCAAGTAGCGTGTTGGCACTGTGCCCCAGCTCTATCCTTCCATTCCACCTGGACTTGACGATGGCGCGCTTTCTCAGGTTAACGATCGGACGAGCTCCGGTGCGCTTGGGGAGCATTCGAAGGGTGCCGTAGCCCAGGGTCCTCCTCGACAGGATCCTGGCCGCTGTTTCTTTCTTCACTTCCTCAAAAACCGTAGACTTGAGCTGCGCGACCGACGGCTCGATGAGGCGCTTCCATACATCGTGGCGGAAGTAAAACAAGCGGTTGCGATGGACGTTGGATTCGGTGACGTAGAAATTCGAGCGGATCAGGGGAATGAGGAGCGAGTCGAAGATGTAATAGATGAATTCAAGGAAGATTTCAAGCCGCTTCTGCTTGTCTGATAGGCAGAGCTTATCGGCGCTCTCGGTCCTCTGTGGTGGCTTGAGCCACTCGACACATGTTATCTATGTTACCAGGTTAGATCCGTTGCATTTTACGAAACCAGAGATAATCTAGAACCATTGCAAGCGAATCGGAGCGCACCTTCAACCCCTGAGCGACGTCATGGAGAGACATGCTCTCAAATCTGCGAAGCTGTATAAAACCATCAACCTGGCGCATGACAATATCCCGATTCCGCGCCCCATCGTCCCCAGTCCCGAATAGGTCGTTGGGGATTAGGTTTTGCAAAGTTGCTCGGCAGAATGCAGAGACAGATGCGATCGGTGTAGCGAAGTCCGTCAATGGTGGCCCAGACCGCTGTACCTCAGTTGGCGGCGGCTTCTAAAGGATTCGGTCAGCAACTATAAAGAGAGTAAATAAACAAATAATAATAAAAGCCAAAATAAGGTTAGGACGAGGGATAGAGTGTGATCGTACTTCCACAGGGCAGTAATGCCTTAGTAACTCCACGTATGAGCAGCGCTGATGTCTCTTCTGTAACTTCTGTATCAACCCAACCAAGTTGCCACGCAGCCTCTTTGGCAGCCTATTCAAATTTTCGTTGGAAAATTTGCCGGGGCATGTTTTCTTTTTCATAGCCATTTCCTCTTCGCGCAGCGTGTAGTCTTTGAAAGACTGAGCAGTCTGCTTGGAGTCCACGACTGACGTGAAGACGTTGTGCAATCCAAACTGACGCGGGAATATATATTTCATGATATGTACAGTGTGATTTAAATCGTTGCAGTCGGGATATCGATTGAAAACATCTATATTTTCTGCGTTAGCCTAAACAGTTGCAGCTATGTAGCGATTGTAAGAACCGTACGAATATGCTGTAAACCGAGCTTTGCTTCTCCCTTCGCATTTAACGCGGGGCGGGCATAAAAGATCCTGCTCCTAACGAAGACGATACTTCGAGGAGAATGCAATGCATCTCGGACGTGAGTTGCAGCGCTCTCATTTCCCCCCTTGTCACCCGGCTTTTTCTCAGATATCTCCTGACTAAGGAGATTTAGCTCTACCAACTGAACCCCTATTTAAAACGTTTAGCGTTCAAATCTCGGAAAAAAAACGGAAAGAAATATTAAAAAAGAGGGTAAATTCGCAGCTTACCACTCAGTTGATAATAAGTGCCTCTATTCGAGTTCAGGGAGACAAATAGCCCACAATCCAGCAGCAGATGCAGCATAATCTCTTCGCAACTCTCACCAAGCAGATTGAGAACATCTGTCCATGGAAAGCTCTTCAGCATCGAGACATTCTTGTTCGGATACTGTGGGACGATGCCGGGGCCATGTTCGTGATTCGGGGCATAGTGACTTGATGCTCGCTGAAACCCGTGGCATAACAGATGAGTATGCCGGGAGTAAGGTGCTCGTTTTTGCTCGAACAGGGTCAATATGGCAAAGTCGACAATCTGCGAAAAACAGCCCTCTTAGTATGACTGTCGGTTTAGCGAGCGAACTTAGCTTTGGATTGTTAAGGTCGAAAATGCAGAGCCGTTGAAATTGCTTGTAATATAACCACGGTCCCAATGCCGACATGTCCAGCTTTTTGTTTTACAATGGTCGATCAATCCCAAAAAAAAAAAAAAGGTAAAAGAGAAAAAGGGAGTTTGAATTGAAAAAGGACCACGCCGGGTAAACAAGACGAGAACAATACGTAGGAGCATCACTATGATCGCTCACTAACCTCGCTCTGGGAGCTCGTCGCACAGACTTCCGTACAACGCAGTCGACTCGAGCGGAACTGTGATTGGGTGAAAGCAGCGAAGTCACGCTGTCTGGAATGAGCATCTGCATGATCTCGCTGTTTCAAAACACCGACTAACGTCGTGTCCAGCAGCTCTGCGACCTCTTGGGCGCGGGAGCGATCCGCTTCGTCTCCATTGCGCGCTTGGCTTTGAGACGCAGTAGAACGGCGACTGCCAGCGATGTTGTTGACTCGGCCATTTTGGGAGCCGAGAGACGCGACTTTCCGTCGTCGTGATTTGGAGGTTGGCGGGAGGAGTTCCAAGATGTACGACCGTAGCTTGACGACGCGTGGATAGTACAATGAGAGCACTGGGTGTGTCGTGGATGTAGAAGAGGGTGGCTCGAAGGACGAGAGTTTGCCTGCTGCTTTAGGTCCTGGTGACGTGTTGGGTCGCTTCTGGGGCCTATTGCTCTGGCCGGCGCCGTGCGCTGGCCGTTTTCTCTTCTTCCCCATGGGGCTTTTACCCCGGTCACCTTGCAGGACGTCGGCTGATAGTGTTTATCTGGGCGTGAGATGATGGCAAGAGTTGTGGTGCTGGTGGTGGTGGTGTGGGAGACGCGTCGAAGTTCACCCGCGACCGAGCAGCAGCTGATCATGCCATTGTCACCGCCGTTCCGGCATCATTCCAGAACACCCATCATCATCATGTTTGATAGCCGATGGCTCGGGTTTGAAGATGCAAGGCAGTTTACCGCCCAATGGAGTCTGTCGCACGTGTGATACAGCAGCCCGGATGCACAACGGGGAGTTGAATTGACAATCTACCTACACCGTACTCCCACACACCGCAGCGTTCCAGAAATTTGAGGTTTTGTGCGTCTCTCGGAAAAGCGCAGCCCAGCCGGATCAATCACACGGTTGGAATACATTACACACAGGCGACGATTTCGCAGCATTCTGGGGTGGATTAGAACCCGGCTCCTGGGCTGCTCTTCATACATGTAATTCCGGCCTAACCGCACTGACTACGATATATTGACAAAGAAAATAGGTCGTTAGTTACGGGGGGCAAAAAAAAAAAAAAAAAAAAAAAAAAAAAAAAAAATAGAAAAAGAAAAAGAAAAAAAAAAGGGAACAAGAAACAAGGAAAAGGAAACAAAAGAAAAAAAAAATTAACTACAATGAAAGTGAAAATGTCTAAGTTCATCTGGATGAACGACAGCTTCTTGTTTCAAGCCCGGAAGGCGGCTCGGGAACCAGTTAACTAGCTATGATTATTACTCCATCGGCCAAGCCGTCATTGTTCTTCTCCAATCTCCCGGGTTCCAGCGGAACAGAGCCAAACGCTCGGGGATGACGATGATCTGGGATGCGGTTCCGCCGCTGGAGCTACGGTTCGCATGCGCGTGTACCTGGCTACCACCCCGCCCGTACCAAGGTTCGAGAAATTAAAACTGGAGATAGCGGGAGATTGTTTTGGCCTTTCTACAATTATTCTGTCCTCTGGCAAGGAAAACAATGGAAACAGGGGGGGTTTGGGGGGCTACGGGCTATTCTTAGCAAGACTTTGTGTCAAAAGCTCAGGGTGTTTTAAGACGAAACGGCGAGCTTCTTCAAGGCAAGACCATGTGTGGATGGGGGCGAAAATGGCATTGCGACAGAGCACAATCCGTTCGACGAAGAGTTTTCTTTTCTTTTCTTTTTTTTTTAAAAAAATCCGTTACGGAGAAAAGGCGGTGATGACAGAGATTTTGCGGTGAACAGCACATTCGATCGAACGATGATGCCAACCAACTTACAATGTGGAAACCAATTTAGTCTTTTTGGCCTTTGGTTCAAGTTTTTCCTTGGTTTTGTCTTTTTTTTTTTTTTTTTTTTTTTTTTGCGCTTTTTGCCCGGGAGCGATGATGGAGCCCACGGTGGGATCGACAGGGCCAGACTCGATGGGCCTTTTGAGTGGGAGTCCGCGGAATTGACGTATTGTTGTTTAATTGCCGCAAGTTGGCATCTGGCGGGCGCAGACGTTGATAATTCCATCTTTATCGGCAAAGAGTCCGCTGATCCTGGTGTCATATACTCCGTACTCCGTACATAAAAGAACAGGGCGTGATCCAGGGCAGGAATTATCTCGGAGGCGGCGGGGGAATTTTCTTGCAAAGGCGATCAAAAGGAGACAGGGGAACTAGAGAGCAGATCACCCGCTTTGACTTATCTTATCGGGATGTGGTTGGATTGTCCAGGCGACGATCATCTCTGGGGCGTGTCTCGATAGGATGGGGTGGCTTGAAGATCCAGAAAAAGTACGGAGTACGGTGTACTGCTTTCTTTCTTTATCTGAAGGGGAGAAGGAGGATGGAGAGTGAGAATGAGGAAGAGGAAGAGGAAGAAGGGGGATATGAAGAACAAGAAGAAGCGGACTGGAGGAAAGCCGGCGCCGTCGGCAAATTGGTTTGGCTTACGAAGTGGAGTGGGAATTTTCTTTGTTGGAGGAAAACGCAGCCTGTCTTGAAGAAAGTAATAAGATCGTTATGGAGTGTGAGTGGCAAAGCTGGTCATAAGCCGATATGTAGTCGAGAGTTTAGTTAGTTAGCTAGCCAGCTACTCCGCACAGGTATCTATGGGGATGCGGAAGGGTCTGTCGTCGTCGTCGTCGTCGTCTTTCTGATCGGTCAGGTTGATACGTCTCGAATAACCAACTAGCTGAAGGGGTTCTCTGGCCTCGTGATAGTCCAACTGAGCATGATATATGCACTTACTGATCAACAGACCCAAAATTCTGTACTCTGTAAGCAGGAAGACAGAGTTGACGTGTGAAAAAGGCCCCCCGGGTGTTTTATAGTAGGCGAGGTTTCTTGGGGGGTTGGGGATTAACAGCGTTACAGGGTCAGACATGCTTGGAGATGCTAATTTTACTCTGCGTGCTTGTCGTGATCCACCCGCCCTGCTCTGTCCTGCCGCCGCTCTTTAGTCCTTGTCTGTCTGACTGATGTTCTCCCGGTCTCTTGTCTTCGCTCTCTTGCTCGCCCGCCCGCCCTCTCTGCCCTGCATTTCCCTGCATTTCCCTACTCTGTGCTCTTCTTCAACCATCACCATCGTCCGTCTTCGTGAGGTTAATCCCATCTGGCAGAAATACGAACCGCGAAGTTGCCAGAAATGCGCATGCCCATGTATGTATGACCGTCATCCCATCTCCTGTGCCAATCCATTACACAAACATCCAACCAGAAGTGATTGGTACGTCCAATCACCACCAACCATCGTCGAGGTCTTGTTGAGGAGTTCTCTTCCGATCGAATGGTCTCACTCGCCAACTCTCACTCGCTCACTCAAACTCCCTCAACTCACCCGTCTCTCCTCTCTCCTCTCCCTCTCCCTCTCCCTGGCCTCCCACTCCACCGCCCTGCAAATCCCTGCCTAACCTTTTGCCCAACGAACGCTTCCTTTCATTCTCGCTGCACTATTAATCTCCGTCCGTTATTGCCTCAAGGATCACCTCCTGGCCCTCTTTCGCCCTGACCATGCCATCACTCGTACTAATTTGATTACTCGCCGTGCTGCAGCCAATAACCCCCTTGTCTTCTGCACCTCCTCTGCTGTGCAAACTGGCGGCGTTACCTTCTCCCAAGAACCCTGGCGCCCGTTAGTCACGATCGCTCTGCTGCTGCGCCCTCTCTCGACAACCTCTTTCAACTCTCGCCCTCCCGCTTTCATCGAAGAGAGCGAGAGGTTGAGAAATAAAAGAAAAAGAATAACCTAGACACGCCAATCCACCCCCGCTCCCCCCCCGGCGCTCCTCTCCGAGTCTCTCAGTCCTAAATCTACTCGACTCCCTGGGTCTGCCAGAAAGGAAAAATCCTCCCCGCCCACCACCGCTCTCAACCATGGCAGTCTCGCGATGAGCAGGCTAGAAGCTTGACAGCCCTGAAAAGTTGTAACCCTTGTCACCTTTCTGCCACGTCGTGACGCTACCTTCACCCAGCAAGACCCTCTTTCTATTACCTCACGACCCATACCTGTCGCTGCTCAGGCATCCGTTCTCTCTACCTTTCTTTCTCTTATTTACTTTTTTTTCCCTTTTTCTTTTTTTAAACTTTACCCCCCTTTTTCCATTTTGCAGAATTACACTCCGTGCCTGATGTCGGATTAATTTCTTTCTCCTTATCAGGCCATTACCGTCCAGAAGATGCCTGTCCAGGAGGTCGATCACAATTACGATTCACTGAATCACCATCTACATCCTTTTTACCAACCAGACCCGACAACACATCAGTTTGCGTCGCAGAACGGCTTTGACGATGATTCTGACAATGCCGCTTCGCAACAACCCCCGTCCATGTCCTCTCCTCCACTCCCGCTCCTCCCTGCAACCACTTACTCTCCTCCACGTGCTTCCCGCCAGAAACACCTCTCTCTTACCACTAATTTGGTAGATCAGGCACCCAACAATGTCCGAGACGAACTCTCGCCTGATCCTCGGGAATTTTACCTCCAATACCGCGACCCCTTTGGCAGCGATGGAGCGGGTCCCGACGATGTAGACATGAATACGGCCTCATATTCGAGGAGGTCTTCAGCCCGTTCCAACGGTTCATCCAACGCTCAACGCTATAGGTCTTCCTCTCGCGCACATCAATTCCGTTCGAGTCCCGCAAGCCACTCCAAAGACTACTCCCCCCAGAAGCCCCGTCGCGCTCCGGTCTCACCTTCAGCTACCAGGAGCAGGCAGTCGTCCTTGAAGGAATTGGTAGACAGGTTCAATCAGGCTACCGACGAGGTCCTCCCAAGACCTCCCAATCGGCCTTCTTTCACCTCATCGAGAGCAGAAAGCCCTTCGTCGGCCCCAAAAACCTACACCCGTTCAGGCCAATCATCGAGCCACAGGCCTACCACGATCGAATCCCACTCTTCCATCCGGTACAATCAGCCGTCGGCCAATAGCGCAACTTCAACAAAACAGAGCGGACACAAGACGCGGACGCCGCAAAATACCGTCCGAAAACCACTTTTCGGGGAGATATTGCCACTAGACACATTTGCCGGACATCAGGAACGAAGACGGGCGTCACATCAAAGACGGGGTTCCGACAGCTGCATGCACTCGCCAGGCCCCATGTTTCTTGACATCCCATTAGAGATTTCTACTGGATGGTCCCCGACTTCTCCAACAGCATGGTACCTGGGCTACAACCCGTCTATCGATAGCGCCAACACTACCAAGCCGCAACTGCTCCATCGAAGGTCTCGAAGTGAGCTGGGAAACTGTTCGCAGCCAATGAGCCCTACTTCTTTCAACCCAAACATGGGTGTCAAATCCCCAATTTCCCCGACGTCTCCCTCGAGTTCTCGCCGGAAATCAGGCTCTCAATCCCGAATACCAGTTGCCACGCGCCGATTTAGCCACGCTTCCGATTCGGGTAATTCCTCCCCCTCGACGAGGACAAGTTCCGCGATGGATAGGCATCCAGTGAATATTTCGTTACCCCCCAAAGGCATAAGTGCATTACCCAAACCGTCTCCAAAACTTAATCCATCACCCAAATTCCACAGTCCATCCAATTCCCCTGCCTCCCCTCGAATCACTTCGCCGGGAAGACATGCACACAATATCCAACCGCTCAAGAGCCCAACACTGAAAGCCATAATCACAGCTCCTCCCCCAAAGAAATCTCCTCCGCTGAGAAGCTCCAGACCACGCCAGCCTGTATCAACCGCTACCACAACGGCTTCCCGTGGAAAAGTTGTTGATAGAGTATCAGATTTTCAGAATAATGCCATGTTTTCAAAGTCGCCTCGCACCAGTCGAGCCAGATCACGACGGCTTCCAGAGCTGGGAAATGTGGACTTCGCCGCTAGACGTCAGAGAATCCAGCAGGCGTTCAATAAGTCGATCGAAGAAAGTAATAAGAAAGAGATTGCAAGGAAGGCACAGAGAGCCGCCCGCATTAAGGAGGCTGAAAAAAAGGATGATCAACGAAACAACGAATCCCAAGTGACCGAGGAGCTGGTGACGACGATCGCAGAGAAGGCCTCCGTAGAATCGCGAGTTCCGACCGTTGAATCATCAGATATTGGAGAAGAGCATGAGGCGTTTCTCACACCAGATGAGGGTCGTTCGCCCAATTCAACCGACGCAGCAGAGAATGTTGGACCTGCTGGCGACTTAAATGTAGTTTTGACGGAAAAGCAACTCCCGATCACAGATACCTATGATGCTCCCCAACAGCGCCTGACCGATGCGCGCCCTTCATCGGCATGCTCAGATACAGCGCCCCAGTCTGCGGTCACCGCTTTGACGGATACGACGCCCATTGATATGGAACCGCAGACTGAACTCCCTCAACCATTGCAGTCCCATCGGTCTATGCTCAGCCACATTATGCAAATGCGTGAATCGAGCCCCGATATCACCGACTCGAGTGATGATGACGAAGACACCTCGTCTTCTGGACGTGATAAGGAATCGATCCAGATCATGCTTCGACAGACGTACTTTGACCCCATAGACACGAGCAGTGAAACCCAGGAATTCGCTGAAGATCCGGATGGAACCAAGGGTCATGGAGATAGGCAGCGATGGAGCATGAGCTCTTGGAGTTCGTCGATTCAGATCCAAAATAATCAGCTCATTGAGGGGTCGATGTCAGAAGAAGCGAAAGTAGAAACTTTTGCGGACGACGATAGGACGGCACAATCGACATGTGATAGTGATAGGAATGTCACTCCGCAGCCACCGCCCCATGAGCCCGGTCCTGAGGAAGCGGCTGAAACGACGCAGGACACCAAGCCCAAGGAAGCAACTGACGATGGATCAACGCAGCAAACGCGCCCGGGAGAGAGGTTCAGTCTGAATTTGATGCATCGTTATCCAGACCTGGCCAAACAGGCTCGATGGGACACGAAACGCGCAACTCAGCTCTACCTACAGGAGCTCGCGAAGGCTGGATTTGGCCAGCCACGAATTCCGGAGCCGATTGTAAAAAAAACTGAGACAGAGAAGAAGAGGTTGTCCGGCCATTCCAACGAAGCACCTCAAGAAGACGGTTTAGTCGAGGACGCGGTTATTCTCCCAGAATCGAAGTCAATACCACCCTCTGATTATGTTCAGCATCTTGCTAATCTGAATCAGAGAGATGACTGGGAGCGTGCTTCACCGTCAATTGCAGATTGGATGCACCTAGCAGCTACTGACAAAGATGTAGCCGAAGAGCATCGTGATGTTGATAAGGATCACGCATCCACTGTACTCGGGCGTGATGACGCCAAGACTCCTAAAATATCAACTTCCGGTCCAAATATTTCAGCTCCTGCGGCGGGCGGCAATGGCCTAGGTGTGTCCATCCAGGTTCACTCCCCACAGGATGGCGACTCTCCAACGATTCCCGAACTACCAAATTATCCTCCACCTCCACCTCCACCCGGCTCGCTTTCTCAGCACCACAGCACGGAACAATTGCAACAACCGCCACTCGCACAACCGTCACCAAGTGTGTATTCACAACCTTCGCCGCCTCAAACCTTACCTAGCACCACATTTGTGCCAAAAGATTATGAATTAGAGGCCAGGGACAGTAACGACTCCTGGCTCCACCACACCGGAGCCACACCATCGCCTCAGACCGTTGCCTCGTCGGTCACTTCTCAGGACCGCCAGCCCGCACCGCAGGAGAAAGTTGAAGCTCCCTCTCCAAAAGCATCCCCGACACCCGAGCAGCGGCGCCTGAGAAAAAGATTTCTGGTCATCAAGGAGCTTGTCGATACGGAATACACCTTTGGTCAAGATATGACGGTGGTTGTCGACATCTACAAGGGGACATCGAGCTCCTGTGGTCTGACTCCGGAGGACGTGAAGACTTTGTTCGGGAACTCGGAGCAGGTCGTAAAGTTCTCGATAGACTTCCAGGATGCGTTGAAACAAGCTGCGAGGAGTGTATACGTGCTACCAAAGTCACAACGTTGGCTGAGTAAGCGTGGGAGCAGATATGTTCCGAATACCAATAATCAAGAGAGCCAACCG